ATACTCAATATGACACATGCGTATGTATAGATTGCACATGTTAACCCCTAGGTTAGGTCTAAGTGAAAAATTGGTTCTTTGCATTCCCACATGCAGCTCACACTGAAGACTTCAGGAGATTTTTTTAGGAGTTTTGTGCAAGCGTGTACAACAAGGCTTTTGATTCAGATCCCTTTGAGCCATGAATGGTTGGTTGGTGGTTTTTCTACACTATTCAAACCACTCTATTTTATTTAGAAGTAAAAGATATAATAATGTCTTTATAAGGCAAACTCCAAAACACTTGAAGTTAAATGTTTTTACAGAATAAAGAATACAAACCAGAGCTGAAATTGCCCATTTTAAAGCACCAATAAGGCCTCTGTAAAATCTAATTTGTTTCCAGCAGCAGTGGAGGTTTTTTGGCTTCTAAAACAGAGTTGTAAGTCTTGGTCTCTCAAAACTGGGCAAAGAAAAGATGGTGCAGTGTAGTAATACTTAATCTCGGGTTTCTCTCTGGCAGTTGTCTTCTGTCTGGAGCTCACTCTGTTATGTTTCCTGCTGTCAGGGGAGCCTACAAAATCTAGCAGCATCCCCTCACATCAAAGTAACTATAACTGTCGTGGACCAGGACGAGTCTTATCACCAGGTAGTCCTGACCTCTCTTGCACGGCATGTTATCCTTTTGTCATGGCTTCTTTCCAACTTTGGATTTGGTCTTTCTACTTTATTGAAATTGTGAATCAGTATTGTCCTTTCATTTTTAGAGAAAAGTCTTTATGAAGTACTTGCAGGCCTGTAAGTTTTTATGTTACTTTATATCTATTATACAGTTTTATATGTATGCTATAATTAAAATTAATGCTCAAACATTAGCACCATCATTTCCCTTAACAGTGTTTGGCAGAGGTTAAGAGACCCCAGTTTAAACACCCGAGAAATCCTTTCAGTTATGCAACCACTTACTGGAAATGTCGACTAGACTTTTTCCACCTATCTGCTCCACTTCAGCATTAGTGGCTTTCTAAATTGCTACAGTCCACCCTAACATGTAGAGTGATCTGTCAGTCAACCAGAAGTCTGTAATGCTCTAAACATTTGAGTCTCTGTCTTTTCCCTGGGCCTGCCTACCCTCTCCTCTTGCTGTTTTATGCGGCTCTTTTCCTGCTCTTTCACGTTAACACAGCCTGATCTTGGGTCACAGAGGTCAAAGTATATGATCAGACATCTGGACTAGTCCCAACAGCACCATAGGGAATCAGAGGAGTGAGTTTTATCGGAGTAAGAAAGAAAACTCTGTAGTGACTGGTAGTTAAAAGGGCTATGACATCCCTCAGAGTTACTTTTTATTCCTTGTCCACACCAAAGCTTGCTTTGTAACCTGGGTTGTGTTTTGGTGGGTTTCTGGTGCTGGTGGAACCCAACCTGGCCTGATACAGATCTAGCTTTGGTAGCCTGCGGTGTCATAGCGCCAACGGTTTATCACTTCCCCTTTGCTCCCATCTTGCATCTTCTTACTTGGACTTTACTTTCCTATTCCTCCCTCCAAAGGTCTGTCTTTATTGGCCTCCTCCTGCTACGCTCAAATGCTTTTTCCTTGAAGTTTTGTCGTAGATTCATTCTATCAAAACTTTGTGTTCCTTGCTCTTGGTTTTTTGCGGGATAAGGGACATTTGAATAGTTTCTCAATTGGATTGAAGAAGGAGGTTTTTTTCTCCAAAGTTATTTACAATAAAAGCAAAAAATTTAAATATTAGCAGGAACAATAAATCAACTAAAATGTTGGGATCTATTCCATTAAACATACAACAAGGAGCATGTTCGGTGCCACACTGAAAGATTTCAAATGTTATACTCTTTGTTACTTTTCATTATTGAAACAAACTTTTAGTCAGTGAAAGTAAGTCAGCTCTGTTGTCAAATACAGTGACTTGTCAAATCTAAAGCCACTGGATCCAAAGGGGAACCTTTAATTTTCGGGTCATACTGCTTTACCCTGGAGCACTACTAGATGGCTTAAGTCACAATTGGCCACATTTGCCACATTTGGACCATTAGGTCGGAAAAGTGCTCTTAAATTCATGTACCAATGCAATGGCCTTCTACCATCTTTATGATCCTGCTCATTAAAATTAATCGTCAGGCTGTAAAAGAAGATTTCCCCTTTATGTTGCCTTCTGGATTGTCTTCTGCGCTTCAGATCTTACATGAGAAATTGTGGTACTTTCATCCTTTTCCCCCCTTGGTGATTCAGTTCTGCTTTTTCTTAAATCATATATTTTGTATGCTTTTATTTTTTTGTCAAAGCATTCCTAGAGGGAAGGCATGAATAGATCAAGGCTCTCACTGTAGCAACCAGTCCAAATACACAGCAACAAACATAAATCATAGTGTTCATACTTGGAGAAACTTGCCCTTTCTGAAATATTGCTATTTAATAGATAGCGTAAGATAACTACCCATTGTAGATTAGGCCATTACATCTCTATATTGGGTTATACTGTATGTCAATCTGTCTAAATGGCTTTAAATAAGATTTCACCTCAGCCTCATTAGACCATAAATCTTAAAGTGAGCAAGTCATCAAAATGTTAGTGCCACTGAGGAAATACTTTCATTTAATAGAGCATATTTTTAAGAGATCTCCTAAAAGCATGGCCTGCCTCTTTTTAAAAGAAACCCCGACAAGCCTCCGCCTTTTGATCAACTACAAAAAACTTTACCCCCTTCCATAGGTATTTTTTAACACCATCATTAATGAGCCCCACCTTAACATCTCGTCCTCTAAGAGGTGACAGCCCGTCTTGTTGGTCCACAGTATGAGCCCATTACCACTGGGGTCTGCTAGCGAACACGGTCTTGCAAGGCCCTCAAACACTGCACTTGTGTCTATAAAAACACAAAGAATGGGGCTCTTGCCTGCCATACCGCCCTCATTTACCTTTTTGACTTCTTTGTGAACGCCTAGGATTTGTACTTTTATTGGTTCTTGAGGTCAGGTGGACTTGGTCTTCAGAATTATTTACCCCAGAGTGCTAGTCTCATTCACAAAAGCACCGACTTGCCCTCGCCTTCACCCTCACCGCCTCTGGGCCTGTAAAGCTCAAACACTAGAAAAAATGGAAAGGAAGGGAAGAAGGGGTACTGTTGATGAACTCGCAGATCTCATCACCTCAGAGTATACTGAATCTTCAGTTGCTCTTGCCAATGATTGAGGGAGATGTTCTGAGCAGTGGGTTTTTAAGAAGCCCAAGGGTTTTCCTTGGCTCGTCTGTCAGCAGAGTTTACGATCCACATGGCTGATTTCCAAGGCCATGAGTCTGCTAGAGCCAAGAAGGCTACCTTTTGCTCTTCTTCAGCTTACCAGTATCTTGTCATTGAGGTCTGCGAAAACTGCAGAAACTAGAGCTTTGTGTCTGTAAAAAACAACTAAAAAAGGACATTAAACTTGAATGGATCCAAGTCTCATTTTCCCCTGTTGGTCGCTGTGAAGAGAAACATTAGCTGCTTCCTAGCCAGAGGCCTGACAGTTCCCCTGCTGCCACAACTTCTTCAGGTCCTCCCTATTATCTCCCACTCCCTGGGCCTTGCTGTTTGGTCCCTGTCTTTTAATGGCAGGGTAGAAGAGGGCCATAAGGAAATGAGGTGACCCCGGGGTCACAAGTGGAGTCAGAAGGCTGGAACCGGACCATGGCCCTGCCAACCTCACTCTAAGGGCATGTTCACATTGAGGCAGGCTAGCAAAAGGAGATAGGGGGAGAGTCGTGACAGGGTCCCTTCCATCCTTGACCTCAGTATCATATGCTTTTAATTAAGCCAGATTTGAATATGTTTACAAGCCCCAGTAGTCTTAAATCTTCCAGGTCTTTGGCCCCTTTCTGTACCCCTTATTCCACCATCCCCTCATGCCTCAAGTCATTCTGTTTCTTCTTCTCTTTAATATGGTGTCAGACATCTATTTATTACACTGTTTTAACTGGTTTTCAGGTACAGGTTACAAGCTACTTGGGAATCCACCAAATAGGATTTGAGGGACACCCTGCTAAGATGTTAATCTGTTAGCGATATGAAAGGCCGCTCACCCCACTAAACCCCCCCCCCCTCTACTGGAACCCGGGGGCCTTTTATGGCCCCATCAGGCACCCGCATGGGCGACTTACTGCTGACCTTGTGACCTGGCAGTTGAAGCCATATGAGGAGGGAATCTTTCTCTTGTCCCGTTTTCTAATAGTCTCTTTATTTCTGCCTCCTGCTATATTGAAAATCACTTACATATTTTATATTTGCAGGAAAAAAGTATTCATCAACCAAATATGAATTATACTTTAAAATAATTGTATGTTTCTAATATTGTATTCACTTTTTGGACATCAAATTAATGTCATTAGTCAATGTCAATGAACATGGGATCTATGTCAAAGCTGTATTTTTAGTATATAATGAGATATCTTGTTATCTTTTCAAAACCTGAAACTCTTTATTTCTACAGGCACCTTTTTATATTCATTTTTCGACCTATCTCGTGTAAAAGATTTACACACAGCTCACTGGCCTTTATTAGGGAGGTACCAGCATGTTTGCTATACAACAAAAAGTCCTTTGACTTTTGCTCCATCTTATTAAAAATTTACACGTAACTCAAGAGCTGTTACAATTGGCTTACTAGCGTGTAAGTAGTCGAAAAGCTTGCTCCAAAGGGCCCTGTCCCAGGGAGTTGGTTGGCTAATTGGATCGGTTGGGTTAAATAAATGTTTGAGTTCTCTCCTGCACGGGGGGGACCTGGTTGTGGTGGGAGCCTCTCATCATAGGAAGAGGAGGAAAAAACAGGATGAAAGAGAGGGGAGGAAAATAAAGGGGGAAATGAGCTCATTTATGATGAGATCAGGTTTGTTGTAAGTGTATTTTACACACAGGTGTTGAAGACAATGAGGAGCACACAAAAAAAGCCACATTAACCAATGTCAACACAAAATAAATCAAGCTGTTGTATGTTATTTCTTATATAAACTTTGTGTTCGCAGGTTCCAGATCCAGAGGGGCACCAGTGACCCAACAAGCTACAAGAGCCTGGGCGATTGTTTCCGGACCATCTTCCGCAATGAGGGGTAGGCTTTCTAAAGCAGCTGGCAACTAAGGGCCAAAATAACAGGTCATGAGTTTGCCATACATTTTATTCCAAGCACAAATGATGTCAGTCCTCCTGTTGTCTGACTGCAGGGATGGAGCCATTTCTACTTCTTGACCCAGATCTCTGAGTATTAAGTTGGCATTAAATGTATTCAATAACTGAATCAAAAATATACAGGATTATAATAAGTTAAGGACACCTTTGATAAATAAATGTTCAAAATGTGTTTGTGCTATGACAATGACAGAATCCAAAACTTGTTAAAAATTAATACTTATAAGTTGGCTACTTATTTTGTTTCTGGAGCTTTATAGAAGCAGTATGTCACTCCGACATGTAGCATTTGAAATTGGTACTGCAGTCCAAATTCAAAACATTAGAGAGAGCTGCAATACCATGTCATTATATACCCCTCCATACCGTACCACACAGCACGACACAACACGATATGAAACAATGCACTTTATGTTCCCCTATGGGAAATTTGTCTAAGACTCAAGTGCTACACACAGTTTATATGTGACGTAATAATCAAATTAGAGCAACAGAAAATAGGGTTATATTGAGAAAAGTTTACATGAACCAAGGTTAATAGCAAATGGCAATCCATAGCTGGCAAGCAGTGTCTAATATTACAATGGTACATACCTCTTACTCTTTGGTAAAAATATATAATTAGTTGTGGTGCTTCATTTTAATGCTAACAGTAATGTTGACAGGGTGGTGTTTTTGCTGAGAATCAGAAAGTGTTTAAGGTTCAAAAGCCTTTAAACTAGGAATGTGTATGTCAGCAGCCTTGAAGAATATTAAACAGCAAGCACTCTCATCATTGTACCTCATTTTAGATAGAAGTGTGCCTTTTTTTGGGGTTTAAATGTAAAACTTTCAAAATAACAGCAGACGGCCACAGCGTCATTCTCCCTCCTCCTCTGCCTGCCAGTGACAGGACTGTGAGACAGTGCAGGTGTAGGAGAAAGTGGTTACCACTCGCTCTGTTTACGGCGAGTCGACAGCTTTACAGCGGATATAAAGTTGATCTGCTGCGAGGTGTGAGCGAGCACACGTCGAGAGGCCTGCTAGTAACGGTTGGACGTGGTATGCTGGTTGTAGCTCAGCAGACACAGCGATCCTGCTACAGTAGCTGTGCCCTCTTCACCCCCCCCCACACACACACACACACACACACACACACACACACACACACACACACACACACACACACAGTCTAACAGGGTGAAATTTAATACCTTTGTGCCTGCATGCTTTCTGGGTGTGTCCTTAGGGAGTAGGTCTGCATGTACTTCCAAAGAAGTCTCTTACACAATAAAAGGTTGCCAAATTACACAGCATTTACACCAGGCTTCCCAGGTAAAGCCGTGGTACATGTTGGAGTGTACCCACAGACAGAAGATCCACTTTCTCATTGACCAATTATAACTCACAGTATATTTTTGCTGCAGCTGTAATTATTCCCCAGTAGTACATCCCAGATTACCCTCCAGGTCAAACCACTTAGTTATAACTTGTACAAATACTACTGTTGTGAAATTATTATTGAAAATAAACATCTCCTGTCAACTGATACCGGGGCAGAGCCAACACCGGGACTAATTTTCTTTCTGAGGTGATGATAGATGAAACCTGAGCTCTCAGCCTGAGCTCTGTGATTAGATTGAACAAAAACACAGAAATGTGCACATGTATGACACCATCTTTAAGGCCTGGACACATAAACTATCCCTGAAAACCTTTACACATTACATCCAGATTAATTTTGAGTACTTGTTGCATTGTGGATAAATTCTATCTAAAAAAAACTCAACATTGTGCTATTAATTCTTTAAAATCAGAGTCATTTTCCGAGTGTAAACATGCATACATTTGTCTTTGTGTTTTATGTGCTTAAAAATAAATGTAAAAATGTAATAAAAAAACGGGACAAAAAGTGAACAGTAGTACTTCTACTGTTAAAGAGCCTAATATAGAGCCCGAATAGATTGCATCATATAAAAAGAGTTTAAATAAAATATGTTAAATGTATATACATATTTGGCAAGAACTCTGGCATGAAATCATGTAGCGGCGCTGTTAAGTGTGTGACAGTGTGAATCTTGCTCACCAACACTTGGTTGGTGTATTTTCCTACACACCACGCTCCTTTTGCGCCTGGGTGTAGCAGTGTGAGCATGTGTTAAGTGTTTCCGTCTGGAGGGAAACAAAAAGTCTCTATTCTCGAACATTTCTTACCGCTCTGGTATCCATAGGTTAGGTCGAGACCCAGAGCACGGCCACAAGAATATTATGAAGGCACAAGTGTTACAGCAGAACGTGTTTGTACAGTAGATCAATGAATGATGCCTGGAAGTAGAACATGTTCAGTAGAGGGTGGAAGGTAGGTGGTGGGGATCCAGCTGCGACCACCCGTGTTAAAAAATATCTACATTCAAGGAAGTGCAGATAAGCGTGTCCACCAGATTACACTTGTTTAAGGCAGTGAATCAGACATTGTTTGTATGAAGCAAGTCGTAAAGCAAGATTTAGACTTTTTGATTTTGAGAAACATGCTTATTCACTGTTTGCCATGTAGTCTTTTCACCTCTGTTTTTAACAAGATGCAACATGTTGATTAGTGAGCTTCAGTGAGTTTTGCAGACGTTTTTTTTCTTCTCCTGTTGCCAGTTGTTTCCCCCTTTTTTTTCATTCTAAGTGCTTATCTCAGCTAACCAGATGCTGGCTTTGGCTTCATTATAATAGAACAGACATGGATGTTTGTCTTGTCATAAAACTGTCAGGGAGAAAGTTAACAAACATGTTTAACAAAATGTCAAACTATTCCTTTGAGACCGCGATTGTTTGAGTAAAACTTCAAATTGTTGAATAAAAGTTCCAGTTTCCACAGTTTCCCCATTTTGGTAAATGTAAAACTTTTCAAAGTCTCACATTTACCAAAATCGAACAGAACATGAAATATATTATATATAAATATTGTGCAAAATCCAGTACAGTAAATGTTTTTTATGATTTATTTGTGTTATTTTATATATGTTATGATGTCCATGATATGTTATAGTATGTTTCATACAGTTTCCACCATGCATAAGGTAAAGAAATCTGTGGATTGTGGCTTCTGGTTGTTCTGCAGTATTATCAGTGACAATGTCAAGGTTACAGTAGACACTGGGAAAGTGAAAATATTTGCAGATGAAGCATGCCGGCTGTTTACATGTTAAATGTTCTCTGGGGTGGCTCATATTTCCCACAGGTTACCTCGTTGCAGTGTTGTGAAAATAAGCAGGCGTGCTGCATTCAGTCATTTTACTCTGCAAATCCATCATGTACTGTTCAAAGAGTCAGAATTAGTGTCTGATTAATAACATCAGCTGGTTTATAATCAGTCCTGAGTGCGGGTGTAGTTCTGTCAGTGCCACGCTCCTCTCCAGATGGATGGAGGCTGTTAAAAAAGGAAAGGTTTATGAAAATGAAGGACAAATCATTCACACACACACACACACACACACACATCCATCTGAACCCCTCTTCCCTCACCTTGTGTTAGGAGGTCATTTGTTTAGGAAAGCCAAAAAGGGACTTAGTGTGTACTTTACATTGGAAAGCAAATTAGGATTCAAATGATGGCTACTCACTAGAAGCCATATTTGTTCTGTAACAAATTTCACTCCCACTTCATCACCTGGCGGCTGCCCAGCCTGACCACACCCGGGAAATCTGTGGCCGGTATTTGCATGGACAAAGAGAGCAGAGGGGAGGCTCTTCCGTCTCACTGAAATAACTTATTTACACAAACAATAGGAGGGATAAATTTAAAGAGGGTTCTTCCTCTGCCGTAATCCCTTCCTCCAGCATTTTTGATTATGTTGATGGCTTGATTACCCTGAGCCAGTACTGCTTGTGTTACTTCAGCTGTGGGGCAAATAGGTTGGCTCTGTCACCTGATGACAAGTGTTTTGATAATTAGTTATGATTCATTGCTGCTTTTGGAAAGCAACCGGGCTGCTCAGGTATTCTATCAAAGTTTCATGTCCTGTACACCTCAGGTTATATTCACCTGAAATTAATGCCAGCAGCAAAAATATTTACACTTGGACCAAATATACCAAGATCATCTATGTTGACTTGTAGAGAGTGTTGTCACAACAGGGCTGGTGCCGGCATTCACAAGATACAGTCGGTCACGCCACATTGTCCTCTTTTTCCACAGACCTGTGTTCACTATCAACATTCACTCCCTCATACTTTGTCTCTCTGTTACCTGCAGGCTGACAAGTGGAAGGGGAGGCCCTTTTCATAACTGCCATTAGCACATTTATGGACACATTACGCATCTTTTGCCACTTTTCTGTTGACATTCAGTTAGAATGTTACCATGCACGATTAAGTTGAGCACCAGTTAAAGCTTGATTAGTCTATTAGTTGGACTACTGTCCTTTTCCTGGTATACAAGCACTGAGGGAGAATCGATTTATTTAAGGAAGTTTGTCCGACACCGCTGTGCTAGGTGGCGATATATCCCCTTTCGGCTAGTTTCTCTCCATCTTTTTCTGCTTGACACATTACATCCAGAGGTGGGCACAGTCGATCAAAATGTTAACTTTGTTAACTGTTCATTAGCAGTTAATAAGTTAATTAATTAACTAAAGTTAACATTAACCGGTATTATCAGAAAAGAACAAAAACATCTGCTTTTTGCTATGTCAATAGATTTTAATTCTAAAGAGGCCCTGAAGACTCAAAGTTACACATGTCTGTATACAAAAATCTATATTGTTTTTTTACCACTAACATCAATGTTAAGAATTCATTTGTTATTGATAATTATCAGCATTATTTTTTTCCGACGTGTGCCAAGCTTTGAATATGTCACATTCCAAACAATTGACAAACTAGTTAGCAAGCGGCAAACTGGTTGTCTTATGGTAACTAACTGCTTCAGTTGACACAACAAAACCTCTCGTCTGTTTTAAAAAGCTTGGATCTGGCTCTAGTACTCGACATGTTGATGCCTTCGTCTTGTTTTCTTCCCAGCTTTCTTCTATGCATTCATGCTGTTCAACTTCCGCATCAAAGCCCGCAGTGGCAACTGTGGAGCATGCACAGAATCCTCAGGCAAGTTTGGATCTGATTTAAGAGTTTTCCAGAGTAAATCGACTCCTTACCACACCATCTAGATGCGTTAGTCTGACTGAGAAATTCAGCTCAGTACAATTTTAGTCAAGCTGACATGTTTTATAAAAGTCTGGATATATTTGAACCAACACAATTGGTCCAACTCTTTTTGTTTATGTAAACCTACTGAGTGCTTTTAAATTGTTGATTGAAAATATTTCAGTCATGTATACTTCCTGAAATAGCAGTACTAAAAAACATTTAATGCAAAGTACATTAAACCAGAGTTTATATTGGAACCTCTTTCATCAATTTAATTATTAAAGGTCCCATATTATGCTTTTTCTGGTTTTATATGCCCTTTAGTGTGTTTTCCAAGTGTCCTGTGCATGTTTAGGCACGTCTATGTGCAAAAATTCAAAGTCCGCAGAAACGCGGCTTCTCCTACGTCCTCCTGTTAGCTGTAGCGTTAGCTGCATGTAACGCTCGGTTCTAGCCCCCCTCGATAAAAAATGTGTCAGTGCTGCGTCATTGTCAGTGTGAGATCACTGATCTAAGCTCATTAGCTCGTTGTGGCAAGCCCAGCAGCTCATGTTGAAATTTCCGAGACGCGTGCTGAGCAACTGACCAATAACGACAGAGCGGATCGGCAGACCAATCAGAGCAGACTTGGCCCACGTGGGGTCTAACAGTGTGGGCTCAACAGAGTGTAGCTGACAGACTCAGAGCGTAGAGGGAGCAAGGAGGAGCAGTACATGAAAACACACACTTTTTTCGGACTTTAGCTATTGTGAAGGTACAAAAGTAGGAACATAGATTAAATATACGAACCCCAAAAAGGGCATAATGTGAGCTCTTTAACTGCCATTAACCAGCTGAAGCAACAATCGGACTCGTGCCAATTTTTTGTTTGCTTATGTTTTCAGCTTATATAGGAATCCAGTTTCAGTAATGACAAATAATGAGTTGTCTAAACAAAGCAGTAAGACAACAGAAAAGGTGTGAAGAGAATAATTAACAAAAAACGGATCATACAAAATACTGTGAATTAAAATGCTCGTTTGAAACCCATCGCAGCCATTTTTCTGAAACTATGAGCTAACAAATATAAAGCAATGTGACAAATCTTAGCACAATAGTTTATTTACAAATGAAAGATAACATTAGCACCATTTGTAGGATCCAAATGTATGAATGGCTTATATTTGCCTCTATATTCTGTAACCATGAGGTGTAATTATTTTTAAAAAATGCACCAGGGTGGAGATTATTATTACACCTATCATACCTGGAACACATTAATTAGCTCTAAAAGACAGTGATAGATGATGTTGTGTTTACTGTTTCTCTTTCTTAAAGATTTAGACCTGTTGTACCTGTTTCACTTCGCCTGACAATCCCCTTGAAACAACATTTAGGAATGAGAACAGAGATGTTGTTTGCTGCTGCTGGGACGGTTTGATATCTTTACTCATCCAGTGTGACTTTCAGCCAAAGACTTATTTTCTGTTTAGGTGGAGTTTATGGTTAGAACAAAAACATTTCCGATAAGTACCCGTACCTGTAATTTGTATTCGATTGACAACTTAGCTGAAATCCTTTCCCCGGCCTGCTGCTGACTTCTCGAGTTCACACAATGAACTACTCAACCCATATTTTTTTTATATTGAAAAGTGGGCAAAATGCACATGTACACACTTCTCTAGTGTATGTATAGGAAACATGCCTCATGGCGTCTTTGCAAAAAAAACAAAAAAAAAACATACTCTGCTTAAAAGTATAAATTATATCAAAGACTATCCAGGTGTCTGGGCTGAACCTTTATTATTTATGGATATATCAACAGACCATGTTTTGAAGACCTTTGAAGAGCCAACGTTTGTTCCTCTCTTGTTACTTTTCCCTGATTTAACCATTTCAGTAAAGCTACTCTTTCATACATCAAACAAGTATGAACAAATATTCAACTAATTACTAATCTTTTAACAAAACCCTGTGCAAGTCTGTGAACAGTTTTTGAAGTTATAGACCATTTTGCAAAAGACCACTCCCCTTACCATCTCTTTCAGCCATTTGGCTAGGAAACACCACAGACTGTATATTAGGATGGACACAGAAACATCTGCCTATAAGTGAAACTACATCATTATGAGCTCCGCCTGCTGACTGACTGCACTACAGGTCATAAACCCCACCTCCTCTGTGAGAACTGATGGGACATTATACTAACAATAAGTCAAAATACACATCAAATCCATTTTTGTCAAACCCAGAGCCTTTTCTGATATAACTTTTCTTTCATTTTTCTTTATAGTTTAGTTTGATTAGTTATTTGATGCAACAAAAGCAGATGTAACATGATTTGCAGCTCTGTTGACGAATGTAGTTCCTTGCAGAGTAGATGAAGAAAGGCGAGATGAAACTTAACAAAAACTATCAATACACTCAATGAACTTTCCATGACAGTGACTGTCTGCTTTAAACTGACTAACAGACTGCACCCACCTGAGGGATTGTTATTCGATTAGCGTAAGGGGAATAATGTCAACTAGCTCTCTTCTGCGTATATCTTGCCTGCGTAATTGTTACCAGAGCAATATGTCAGCGCCCAACCGTGCTACTAAAAATGTCACGTGGCATAAAATCTGTCATTCTTTAAAAAAAAAAAAAAGAATGCATGATTTATTTGATATTAATTGTTCCCCTAATAATAAAAGAGATTATGAAGCATTTGAAACAGAAGGTCAAAAATATATTTGTGAATATTTAAGGAACATGGAATCACTTGTTCTGTCTGTGTTTTCTCTGTACACGTTAGAGACTTAAACAAGCTAACCAGACTGTCCAGTTACTGTGTAAATACACCTCATGAAATGGATTGCCTACAAAATAAAGCCTGTATTAAATGTAGGTAAACACCCCTGTATACATAACTCACTGTATCATTTTGTTATTTTTCCTGCCTACAAGTGTGCTTTAAATCACAGCTGGACGTATGATGGAGGAAAGGAAAACTACCAAATTGACTTAAATTATCCAGCTACCGTCTATAGAAACATCCAGTATATCAAACGCTGAAATAAACTCTTAAATCATTTCCTCTACAGATTCCTTGAGAAGTTGTCTGCCACGGTTTGCGGTTTGAAAACATATCTCTGTAGTTATGTTGCCAAGCAGCAGCAATTAACTTTCTGTTTCCACTTTGTATCCTTGGTATAAGTTCTGCTGTCTATATGGTCAGACATTTGGTTTCTGGAGTAAGTGTCATGTAAATAGACAGATGAAAACTGTTCAAAGGAAACATGTTTTTATGTCTTCTAAAGAGGATATTTCATGTCTGAGACAAAGCAACCCTCATTATGTCATTTTGGTTATCTCAGCTCGTGTTTTGAAACCTCTAACATAATACAGAAAGCCAAAAAACTGTGGGGGTGGAGTGTAGAAGACACGGGTGTTTACTAGACAAGCAGGACCTTAAAAACATTTTATGAGTTGCATGATGGGAGATGTGAAATCCAGCTTTTTAGAGCTTGACACCATTTACTCTTAGCCTTTTCTGTCCTGATTTTCACAGTGCAGACTTTACTCTAGGAGTAAGATTTGTATTTTAACGAACCTGTTTATGTTTTAAGAGGGGAAAAAATGCTGAATGTCTTTACTGTTGGTTTTAAAATGTACCCTTGCAAATAATTGCAAATGTTTAATCATACTTAAGGCCAAAAAATCCCACAAAGGCAATGAAAAATGTGGCAGGGTATATTGTAGCAACTATAATAAAAAAAAATGCTCCTAAGAAGGTATGTTGGCTTGTTACTCTTAATGCATTCTGAACAATACATTGTAAGCTTCAGGTTTTTTAAAGGGTTTTGATGAGCTTTCGGCTGCTAGGCTAGTTAGCTAGTTCCCACATCCAGTTCACATGGCTTCCAGTTCAACCTAACACACAGAAGTTTTGTGGGACCAATACAGACAACAAAGCATTAAAGGGATATATTCTGACTTAAAAGTTATACTACTAAAAACAGAAAATGAAATGCTGTGTATCAGAACCTAAAATAGTTAAGTTGGTTGAACAATTATGGCCAGAGGTTGGGAGTTTTAAAAACAAATTACGTAAATGTCCAAAGGGTTAAAAAAAAAGAAAAGTGCACTGACTTCAGGCGATGCTGTATGAGTCAGGATGAAAGTTTAAAAGACAATGATAACAATTCATGGGTGTTGAGAACCACTGTTCGGTCTGTTACATTTTTATGCTTTTATACACAGAATATTCCCGCCAACTTGTTTGTTTATAAAAATGCTTACTTCTAAAAGCAGTCAGTCACTGTAAGCAATACAGACCTACATCCGTCAGAGCATGATAACTATGAGACTGGAGAATTATTTAATTTATTATCAAAATATAGATTTATTTTCGGTCCTGTAACTAACAACTACATGGTGAAAATGTCCTCAAGTTACAAAGCTGTTGTTACCATCATCAGATTAGCTTATGTACCTTCTTATTATCTGTCTTTACAGAGTATTTGGTTTCTACAAAGGAATCCTGCCTCCCATTGTGGCAGAGACACCAAAGAGAGCAGTCAAGGTGAGATATAAGACGTGCACATTGGATTATATAAAAACCGCAAAGCGTCTCGAGTACTTCTGCATGGCTCCGTCTCTGGTTTCACCGGGAGCTGCTCTGCTGCAATATGAAAACACTCTGACCGCAGTTGCTCTAACATGGTACACACATGTTGATTAAACGCATGACGCCCTCCGCCTGGTCTGCCTCCTCCTATTTGTTCTGTTGGCCGACCAAATATTGACTTACAAGCATTTACAGCAGGCCTTCCACTGAGCCTCATCTCTTTATATTTGTTTGTAGGAGGGCTTAGCGTCCCTCACTTCACACTAACATATACATAACATGATGGGGTAACAGAGGGGGGAGGAGGTGTGGAGCTGCTCTGTAATGAGATGCTGGAGAACTTTAAAAATAAGTACTCACACTGAGAAGATGGGGTAATCGCTCACACAGCGAACAAAGCGAGCTGATGGTGAGAACCGTCTGGAGTGAAGAATTAAAGCAAATTAAAGGTCCGATTAAAACGCCTCTGCTGGCGTTTTGCCCTTTGTTCAAATAAACAAATCAGTGGACGTGTCTCCTTTTAAGAGTGTGTGTTAGACTTCTCTCTTTTTCCCGAAAGACTTAATGTTCATGTGCTATTAACAAGTATCAACAAGTCCTCTTTTCCAGCTGATTGTTTTAAACTTCGCCTTTATACATGTGTGTGAGATTGTGTAGAGATGTCAGTTTATAACTTTGTTTATCATGATCATTCCTCTACAGTTTTTCACCTTTGAGCAGTACAAGAAGGCGCTGAATTTGACCCCATTATCTCCTGGTGTGGTGAGTTGTTGCACACAGAAACACCTGAATACACTCGCACCTGGAAAATAAACACACATGTGACACAGGAGCAGGAAAAAGAGTTACACCCAGTGTCAAAAATCAACGTCAAAGGCTGTAAAAACAAAGACAAATGCCAAGAATAATTCAAGTAGATAAATGATGTAAATTTATTCTGACATTGCAGTTGTGAAATTATGGTTTTCAGTACTGTTTCATGTTGAATACATGAAATACATGAGCAGATTTAGTCACACATTTAAGTGTTTCTGTCGTTTGCCTGTTAACTTCCAAATGCAAAACATTCTCTCAGTTTTGTGATTGTTATGGTGAGTATCAAATTGTTATACTGGAAGCTCTGCCTCCTAAATGGCAGGTCACCTGATAACTGGCAGGATAAGGGGTGACTTCTCAAGAAGGGATTAAGTGAACAGAACCTAGAATAACACTTGAATGATACGTTAAACACAAATGAAAGCATCCTTGATGACTAAGACCATTCAAGTGTATCGCTGACTGTTTAATAAAGGTAAAGATTGGACAATCCATAATCAAACTTACATTGATGATAACTAGGTGTAGATGTGTTGCATAGTTTTATAAAAAATGTTCCCAAACTTGTTGAACCAAATGAAGTACAGGGCAGGTGTTGTGTTGATTATTCTGTTAGCTTTTACTTTAAGGGTTTTCCCATGATTACCAATGTCAGAGGGATATGAATCATGCGTCTTACTTCATCAGTTACATTTTCAGGAACTGAGGAATACAGAGTTGTGCTTCAGTACACACAATGTGTATGTAGTGAGAGCTCAAAGGGGATCAGCTAGCAGGCAGCCTCATGGCCTCAAGTGGCTACCTGAACCTATAAGGTAGGCTGCAACAGAGCAGCCAATGGAAAAGTTTGGATTCTACCATTTTGTATGAAGCTAATGTAAGGACATGTGTGGTGATTAGCATGAGTCACGTGACAGAGATATGAAATCCTCTTAAAATATTTCAAGCTAATACAGTTTTCACTTGTGAAGTCTATTCCTTAGGAGCTGTACAGTTTTGCGTTCTATCTTTATTATTCCAGTGGTAAATTTAGACAATCTGAAGCATGAAACACTATTTTGGTTCATCAGTCCCAAGCAACAATTAAAGGTTATTTTGAGGGTGTGTGGTATGCCTTTATTTAAGAGGACAGGCATGTGGATATAGTAGGAAATAGGGAGAAAAGAGTGAGGAATGACTTGCGGGAAGGGGGTTTAGGGTAGGAGACAAACCCAGGCAGCTCACTTCGAGGACAAAAGCCTCTAGACATGGGGCGTGACCTAACTGCTTGGCCAACCGGCGCCCTGGTGATGCAATGCTTTCCAGCCCTTCCTCATTGCTGAGTTTTCACGGTCCAAACACTTCAATGTGACGTCGCTGTGTGTGTGCATGATGTTTATCATTTCCTGTGCGTCTGATGCTTCCACGTTTAAAAGCTGCCTCATTAGTATTCTCTGAAATCTTAGACTCGGCAACCCGTGCAGGCAGGTTGGAGTTGTCCTCAAACATAAATCTCATCTGATCCTTTGCAAATGAAAGTGAGGACAGTCCGTCTTGAAAATCTGATTTGTAACTCAAATCAGATTTGCCTGAAGTCTAAACAAAGCCTACAGGATTTTATTGCAGGCGCCCAAACCTAAACTAAAGAATCAGCTGTAACCAAGTACACCTTTAAAAAAAACCTGTTTGATTAAAAAGTATTTTACGTTTTGTTTTTAACCGCTTTCATTTCTGTTGATTTATTTTTTACCCAAAACGGCTTTTTTAATACACACTCTGCACTCCTGGTTTATTTTAGTCAAGTGACAGTTAACCAGAAAACATTTCTCACTATCTACACAAAAAAAAATATTGTTGTTATACAAGTTTTTTAGAAAAGAAGATACAAGTGTATTTGTTGAGGTTTGTATTCCTTGGAACAACCCTTTGTGTAGTACCATAGATGAAAAGATTTGATTCCCATTAATAAGGATGTGAACGCCTCAAACACCAACAGTTAAGTTGCTAAGCCAAACAATGACGAGGCATATCACTTTCCTATTAAACAGGCTCCTCATATGTTTTCATTCTTTTGAATGGATACAGCAGAGGCCGTGAACTTACAAGAGGTTTCATCCTTCTTGACTAATCTGGTTTCTGTTATATTGAGTCAGAGTTTTAAGCTCGACAGATTTGCCTTGCTGGGGTGCGGTCACCACACACCACCTATTCAGGTGGCAGCCAAGTGTCAGCAGTGATGGATGGCTTACCTGCAACCCTACGCAGAGGCTGCCCCAGCACGGCGCGTATCCTCGTCTTGTTTTTACAGCCAATAGTGGAGAAATGTTTACCTGTCCCATCCATCATGCTCTCTGCCCCCCTCCCCCTTCCTCCACCTTCACCTCCCTCTCTATCTCTTCATCTTCCCCTTCCTCAAGTGCCTCAAACCTCATTTCCCCCAGAGGCCCTCGCGTATCAAGTGCTGTAATCACATCAGATCATTAGTGCGAGCGAATTAGAGATCGGCTATGAACGTCTCTCTCTCCCCCCTCTATTCAGTGTGGCACAGCTGAATGCCTTCACTCTGATTAATGAGGACACACACAGTAATAATACAAATAAGGAATTAAAACGTTGCCGGCTGGCTGTGTAAACATCACGAGGCATGTCTGAGAGGATGGGTCCCCGGGCCCTGACAGCAGGATAAAGAGGCAGTAAGAGTAATGAGCTATAGACACGTTCTTGACATGTTCCCATTACACTTCTCTGTGAGCATGCATACATACACATATTCAGACCTATAGAGCCCAATGCAAATACGAGTAGCATTGCCACAGTCACTGTTCATTACATGTCCAGGATATACATTCATAAGAAGGGTATGCACTTGTTGCCTTGCCATAACATGACACAAAATATATTTAATTTGATCAAAAAATGTGAATCTCTTCAAGATAAAAAAATGTTCACCTTTATTTATATATATATATATATATTTATTTTTTTAACCTAATCAGTTTGCTCACATACCTGTTTCCTCCTTCCTCTCTCTGCCGTCTGTCATCTCACATTTTGGTGAATAATAACAAACACAGGTGTCTTGTGCATCTTCAAACATTTGTCAAACGAGCACACTGACAGATGTGACAGAAACAAATTTCCATTTCAAAACCAGACAAAAGGACTCGGGGAACAAGTTTTCCAAAAATCGAAACTACAATTCAGCATTCAGCTCCTGTAGCCTGGACACGTAGACACATTAGACTCAGGGTGTACATCAGTGTGTATGTCTGTTCTGTCTCTGCCCAAATATTATCTCCACATTCTCACCTCTTAAATCACGTCCACGTCCACCCCCCTCCAGGCGCTGTCTGTAGCAGGGCTCGGTGCTGGCTTGACTGAAGCTGTTGTCGTCAACCCTTTCGAGGTGGTGAAAGTCAGTCTCCAGGCCAACAGAGACTCCTTCAAAGAGGTTGTTTGAAAAAAAAAATGTTCTGTCTAGTTCATAAAGTGTTGCTAATGTTTACTTCTTTTGTCAGTAGTTGACTTGAACTTCTTTTGAATTCTCCAACACAGCAACCCTCCTCATTCGCCCAAGCAAGACGCATAATAAATTCAGACGGATTTGGACTGAAGGGCCTGAATAAAGGATTGACCTCAACACTGGGACGCCATGGAGTGTTCAACATGATCTACTTTGGCTTCTACTTTAATGTCAAGGATGCTATTCCTACCAACCCGGTAATATGAATCCCAGAATCTATGATCACACCTTCTATTATAGTCCCTGTTTTTGCAGACAAATGCAAACTCATACCAAGTGACCAACGCATCTATTCAGTTTTTCTTTGTTTTGGTAACCTTGACTTCACCTAATTTTTGCTAGCTCCAGGCTATATGATCCGCACGTGTCCCAGCCAATTCGCCAGTGGGGGAACTGCAAGTGTTTGACAGCATGATTAGTGATCCTGCCTGCCATGGCAAAGAGGAAGCTAAAAATCAGAGAGGAGCTTGTAAGATCAGCCCAGCTAATACCCCGTCTGTTTGCTCCTCATAACATCCTCAAAGTTTCACATTACACATCCGGCAGAGCCTGATGGCCCAAACAAAAGTTAATTTTGTTTAACGGAAACGTTACCATACGCCGATTCCACATGTACAAACTGGAGCATTAGATTAACCCCGATGAACTAATTGGAAGCAGACAGCGATACTATTTTCAAGAGGAGGTTACAGTGGGAGCCAAGGCTTTGCTATATTTTCAACATTTTTCCAGTGACGCATGATGTACAGAGAAGCAAGTGGTCATCCTCTGAATGATAATTATGTGGCCGGATGACCCAAATAGCTCTCGTCTTAGATTGCAGCCGTTTCTTTTGGGAATGATCCGCGAGTTTGAACATTGATGGAAGGATTCTGTTTGTGAGAGGCTAACGACGGCTATTGTCGAGGCAGAAAGGGATGAATGTTGTGGCTTCGACAGGCTTACAGGCTGAGCTGAGAGTGGCTTTCCTCCAAGCTTTTTTTGTGAGCAACATGAGCGATTAGCTTGCAACTCAAACGTGTCCCTATTCAAATTGAGGCGGCCGAGCTCAGGCTTCTCTTGTATCAGCATTTCATCAGTACAGAGGAGGCAGATAGCACACTGCCGTCGTTGGCAGCTGAATGTGTGAGAGGATGTTTGCTTAAGGCTGTTAGGAAGTGGGTTGATGGGTGTATTTAGGCTGTGGGTATGTAAGCCCCTTCCCCACATCCCACTTGGGGGGGAAAGAGAGAAGAAGTGGGATTAGTTGTTGATTTACCTCAGCTCTCAGGGTGTCCAGCCGCTTGAGAAAGGCCCGGACCTAGAGAGGCTGCTGTCATTTGTAAAAATATCCCGGCCAATTAGCTGTCAGAGCTCTCTGAGTCTGGGCTTCTTTGGTACAGTAATACCCCTGTGCCGAGTCACAGCCCAATTACCCAAATTGTCCCCATATGCCTCCCCAGTCTGCCTGCATGCACCCTGTTTATAAATCCTCCGTCCTGGCTCCCCGAAGAACATGTGCTTCTGTTCAGCCAATCAGAGTGCGGCACCGCAGTCAGGAAGCACTAATCTGCCCCCCGCTACCATAAAATGATCAGGGCTTTCATGGCAGCTTTGCAATCATATGCACATGCCCCCCCCTCGTGCTCCCCCTCACATTTGCTTACATTTATATACACACAAAGTCTCTCTATTTATTTTGTCAGTGTCATGATGCTGCTTTTCTCTGTGGCTCGAAGTTGTGTTTATGAGGTTTGCCGTCATTTTGTTAACACCTGAACCCACTGCAGAAATATTCTGTGTTAAGGAGCAGCAAAATACATACAGAAAATTTGCAGTTTAACTAGATTTTTCAGCGATGAATATTTGTGGAGAAGTAGTTCAAATACATTTTTGCCATTTTTGTGCTGTTAACGGCTGAAATTTCAAAACAAAAAAATGGCCATAGAAGGAATTTTCTGATGTAATTGAACTTACTATGACCCACTCTACCCCTTTTTTCTTACTAAGGCGTGCCCAGAATATACTTTCTTCAATAGTTTTTTTTCTTTAAGTTGTCTATGGAAATTATTAAATGCTAATTTTAAAGTTAGTAGAGCAGTCTGACTAACTTTCTCTAAGTACCTTTAGTCGAACAAACAATATTTCTTCCTCTTGTAGTTGAGCTGTTTTTCAGGGATATTAATCATGGTGCAGTATTACCCTTGTAAGGTGCCATAATCCAAGAGGTCCTATGTTATGCACTCGATTTTTTGATACGCCTCTTCTTTTTATAACTTTTTATAACTGTTATGGATGGGCATCATGTGTATAACTAAATGTCATGAATGTTGTTTTTTGTGACAGAGAAGCAAAAAATGTCTTTGTACAATGTGTATTTACTCTAGAAGAATTCTGTTCTATGTAATTGGTGGCTAAGAGAAATATGCTTTTAAAGTAGCTCTTCCAACACTAGAACTGTTTACAGGAAAGTGGCATTTGTTTTTTCTAAATCCTGTATTCCCTCCTCTTTGCCAGAACCCGACACTTGAGTTTATGAGAAAGTTCACCATCGGACTTGTGTCTGGGACCATCTCCTCCTGCGTGAACATTCCCTTTGACGTAGCCAAGAGCCGCATCCAAGGCCCCCAGCCTGTGCCCGGAGAGATCAAGTACCGCACCTGCTTCCAGACCATGGCACTGGTGTACCGGGAGGAGGGGTATGAACAAGGGGGGGGGGAGAGAGAGAGAGAGAGAGAGATATGACGAGAAAATTCAAAAACACTGTCACCAGTTCATTCAAAAAATTAATGAGGCACTTTGTGTGCTTTGTTAGCAATTCAGTCTTGGTAATCTGCCAAGCAGGCTGTCAGAAAAGACAAATGTAGCAGCTGCAGCTACAAGTTAGCAGGGTTTGATTGTGCAGTGTGTGTTTCCTACACTAACAACAGTGGAAGTGAATGAGCAGCTTGATGCAAAGCTGTGATCCGATGACCAGAATCCAAATAGTGACGTTACACCATGGGCTGTGTTCCCCTCGTGTGTGATCATACATTTCTGCAGTCTGTCAGTTGTACAGTAAATGTTAACATATTTTCTAGCCTCAGAGAATGACAGTTCTAAATGGAAGCTTCAAGGAATGATGTATGTTATGTTAGCAATTGCCCTTAGCCATCCACTTTCCCCCCCCCCCCATGCGGCTCCGCGAGACAAGGGCCAGCGACATGTTTGTAGTTAGTGGACACAGGAGCCCTCAGGGGCTGCTGCAGGAACGCCACTGAAACGTTGTCGTCGCAGGGGTGCATGGAGGGTGCCCCCGCCGCCACATCCAGTCCCCCTGCTCTAACACAACACAGTCCCAGCTAATTAGTGGTCCCTATGGGAGACGTCGTTAAGCAGACCCTAACGAGCCGAGCGGCGCTCCACGGGTCAATCTAATCAGACAGAGGGCCAGGGAGGAAGTGGGTCGAGCCTTATTAACGCCATCAGTGGCGGGGGCAGGGAGTGGGACAGGGAGCACGAGGCAGAGGCAGGCAGCCACTGATCACCTTGAATGCATTAAGGGGCAGGTCCTCGCCAACATTGGCCGTAAGACCCCGACTGTATGTACCTGAGAGGGTGAGAGACAGGCATGCAAGCAGACAGACAGCCAGGCGTGAACTCACCAACACACTCCAGCCTTTACACACATGAAAAATCACACACATCCTGCTGTACTTAACTATTGTATTTTGTAAATGATTAACATCCTGTTCTCTTATTTTGTAGGTATTTGGCACTTTATAAGGGGTTGGTGCCAAAGATAATGAGGCTTGGACCAGGTAAAGGGGAAAGTTCTTTCTACCCATATCCAGACTGTCTTGATGATCACAAAATAGCTTTTTAGAACAGATAAGTTCATTTTTTAGATATTTTTAGATGGGAGAATGCTATTTTTATGCCCATAAACTTTCTGATTATTTCCAAGATTTCAAAGACATAAATTAACCCTTTCATTGATGCTACCAATGAAATATTTTTTAAACACAACATTTATATACTTCCCACTCCATCATAACATTGTGATTCTGATGTTTTTTTGCAATATTGAAATAAAAATATTTAAACTAGGATTACCTAAAAAAGTCTTTGCTAAATTGTCCAACCATGTAATTTAATCTATCATGCAGTGTAGCCCTCTGTTTTAGCATTTAAGAACACATGACCCTTATTCTCAGCTCTAATGGTTTATTGAAGTATAGTTTTAATCACTGGCTCTGTTTTTTGTTACAGGTGGAGCAGTGATGCTTCTGGTTTATGAGTATGTGTCTGGATGGCTACAGAGAAATTGGTAACAACTACAATCAGTAGGATAGAGGACAACAAACAGAGTGCCTTACGGATTATTCCTCAGTTAAGATGTTGTTTTCTGACTCCAAAAAAAAGTCACACCAAAGTAGTTTCATTACCTGTTTTTTTTTTAAATCTTAAATACACCAACCTACTGTGCAAAATACCATATCATCATTTCAATAAGTTGTTATGAAACGTCTTTAAAATGCAGCTTTCAGAAGGGAAAACTACATCTTCATATAGTTCATCGGTAGTGAAAACAGCTGCATTATTTAAAAGATAGAACATACAGTTTGAATAGAAAAAATTACTTACCAGTAATGGGAAATCAATTTAGGTTTTCTGCAAATTTGGATTAATTTACATGAACGGTTGATGTATTTTGTGCTTTAATTTCTAAAAACAAGTAGGCTGTGCTCATTTTAGAGACAGGGTGACGTGATATACCTTTGTCCTCCGATAAATCAAAATGTAACAAATATGAATCCTAATCTAATGACAGTTGTGGAGTTGTTTTACATTACTCAAATTTGAGCAAACCCACCCACACAGTCCTAAATCATGAGCAGTATGAGAGTTGTGAAACAAGTTAAAGAGTCAGCTCTGCTTGGCTTATCCCGAGCTGTTACGCTCAGTCCATATGGACTTCACAATCACAACATTTTTTAGCATAGTAACATACAAGTGAAATTACAAAAAAAGCTCTAATTGAGTTCAAATGAGTCTCATTTCCTCTTGTTCAAACCTGAGCAGAGCTCTGTTGGACTCAGTGGATCAAACATCACTTTTATCTCTGAATATAAACTGATCATTGAGGGGCAGTCTCTAAACTCAGCTGCAGTGCACACAGTGCATCTACTGCAGCACAAGTGTAACACATGTCTGTCTTTACGCACAAATACAAACTGATAGTATTTCATTTACAGCCACATCACTGAGCCATACTCTAGATAACTATCCTGTGTTATTACAGTTTCCTTTACACTGATAAATAGGCATTTTGCAGAACTTTCTTAATAGAAAAAAATACAGATATTTTCATGAAATTCTTTTAATTTGAACTTATATAAAATGTATTTTTTCAAGCTTTTATTGGTTTTATAAGCATTTGTAGGAAATGAATTGTATGTGTTCGTAACAAATAAAAGTAAATCAAATTGAACTCCTCACTTGGTGTGTGTTTGTCTGTGAGTGTATGTAGTTGTACACGGACATGCATGTGTGTGGGAGAGTGTTGTGTTGTTGGCTTTTATAAAGCACAAGGTTTTTTTTTTCATCTTTGTGGATTGGAGTATATTGAATTCAATAGTGCATCACCAAAAAAAAGCCTTCCAGATGTTTTTTTATTTCAATGTATTTAAATTATTGGTATAATCATAAATATAGTTACATGAGTGACTCCCAAAAGTCTTACAGTTTCATTTTAAATTTTTCCCTCATTTATGCAGGGCGACGTGATGTATGATAATTGCTTGTTTTCAACTTTAAATGACAAAAACTAAATACGTTGGAGTCATTTCTGCCATGAAAATGTATTAGTGTTTAACTGAATGCGATATATATGAGTTTTTGATGTATCTGGAGGATTTTTAGAAAATTCCATCCATGAATCGCCTTTCTTCTGCCCAGACTAATGGTGATTTGTAGTTTTTCTTTGTGGCTACAGCCTTGTCATGTAACTGCCCGTTGGTGTCGTTGAATGTTGAGTGTTAACAAAGGCATATCACCTTCTTTCAGTTTACCACTTCTCCACCCTCCCCCTCTCTTCCCCCACATCGTACCACTTTGTTGTTTGGGAACCTGTCAGCGGTAGAAACCATATTAGCCAACCGGATGGCAGCCTCTTTTCCTCTCTATCAGGGAGATGGTGAGTGAAAATAGCTTTAGTGCAAGCTAAAACAACAAGCTCAAGAAATGCAAATGTGGCTGCAGGACTTGAGTTGGGGGGGGGGGGCTCACATCACCCAACTTTTCTCCCTCTGCCCGTCTATCTTAACACAAATACTCGCACACATCATGCAAACACACACACACACCTGTTGCACCGCCTTAGGGGCTAGTGGCTGCTCTGTGGGATCATCTTAGCCTTATGTGGTAGTCTCTTGTACTGAGCCACGTTGGCATTTGACACTCGTCATTAATGTGGGAGTTTCTCTTCTCCAAAATATAAACGGCTCGTGGTTTTTTTCCCTGGGGGGGGGGGGTTCTTGGGTGATAGACCACAACTGCAGCCTGCAGACTAATGGAATTGTAAGCATTTAATGTGTCCTTTCTGTAATAGAAGGATAAATGTGTACGTTTGTGATTATACTCGACAACTTGCAACGTGTGCCCCGTGCATTGCTGGTAGCCGAGGCAACAGAGACACCCTTCACCTGAATTCCCTGCGCACCACAATCATTATAAATCTTCAGCCGAAAAGTCTCCCTTCTCCTTGGTTTCTTCAAACCCTGTCCATGTCTGTTACAAATCTTCACCTGGAACAGTTCAGTTCAGCTTCACTGACGACCATGCTATTTGAACATGACTCTCTCAAAAGATGTTAAGACGTCGGTTTCTCTTTCCCTTTTCGACTCTGATGCATGAATGTCTGAATGTGCAGAAAAACTGAATACCACTCCAAAACCAGTGTCATGGTTTAAAGAAATGTGCTGTTTACTTCTAACCAAATAATGATGTGATATTATTGGTATCATTGTTTGGCCTGGCATGGTACACAAATATATCCATACTTAATAACCTAGAATCAAGAGAAGCCACATTAGCCACAGATTGTCTATGGGGAGTCAAAGACAACCGGATTAATAACTTTAAACTTCATAATAATGTATTTTTACAGGATTTCATTTTTCCAAAAAAACAGCCTGAAAATCTGTCATAGAAAACACAAAACGACAAACTATGAAACCAACAGGGAAGTGGAAAAAACTGCAGTTCCTTGGGTGTCCACTTGAGGATGGTTGCAACAACCTTGGAAGTCGCAGTAACACCCATATTAAAGTGCCCGCTTAGGGGCACCAGATAGCCTACTGGTTATGGCACGTTGACCCATGTACGGGGAGGCTATAGTTGTTGTTGCAGCGGCTGGGGGTTTGAATCCAGCTTGGGCCCTTTGCTGCATGTCGTCCCCTCTCTCTCCTCCTTAACATTTCCAATCTCTCTTCAGCTGTCCTATCCAATAAAGGCAAAAGGCCCCAAAATATGACTTAGGAGAATAACATTTTTTAAATCAGATATAAACACATTTACAGCCTGGTTCAAAAAACAGCATCTTAATCGGCACAATGATTGGGGATGAATTTATTTACTCATTCGTTTTGATTATATTTAGGCTTAAATTTTATGCATTCGGTGCCTGGCTGATCTTACTGACCCTATACACCCCCCCCCCCCCCCCCCCCAGCCTTACGCCCCTGCACATGCTTACACGCCAAGTACATTGAACCAGACAGTTGATTTTTTTTCTTTCCGAGAGGTCGGACTCACCTGTGTGCTCAGCGCTGCTGTTTTAAGGCATTAAGAAAATACTCTGGATGTTCTCATCTGGTTTTTAAAAATGTTCATTGAGCAGGAGCATGCACAGAGCATTGTGTTCACCCAGCGTTACATGCTCTGCTCTGTGTTACTCTGGAAATGGCTGTCTTATTTCTGATTGCATGTGGAGAAGTAAAGATAACCATATGACACTGAAGTCAGACTCAACATCATTAATTATAAACACGTGTCTGCCCCTATTTTTTAAAGAACAACCCTGGCTTCCATGAGGCTGACCAATGTTAGACTAGGAGAGCAGAAGAAGCGATTCCTCCCGTCTAGAAAACACATTGTTCTTATTTTTTAAATACTGGTGTCATTAAGACAACCACATTTTAATTTCTCTGTGTGAGTCAGAGGAGACAGGCTCGCTTCATGCAGCCTAGTTGAAAGGAAAAGTTGTTTGTCCTTGTTGTGTGGAGGGCTGAGGTAAAAAAACAAGAGCATGTAACGACTCTTTCATGCCACTCAGAGAGTTCACCATCATTTACTGTACGTGATGGATGGTGGATGGTAAAGGGGGGGAGGAGGGGGGCAGCCGTGAGGACTGGCTGACTGGTTTCAGAGAGTGTATGATCATCACGTCCCTGTGATGTGGTTCACATACGGTCAAAGAAACACTACCATCCCTGAGCAACGGTCCGTGACCACTGGATGCGGGGAAGAGTGCTTTCCAAGTCAAATCAGCCCCTGCATAGGGAGGACTGTTGACACTGTCACATGCAGGTCCTGTTTATGCTGCAGGAATGGAAACACGGGGCCGTATCTATAGCAAACCACTCTCTGAACCCTCAGCAGCAGGGAGAGCAGGTGAGCACTTTTATCAAGTTATTAATCTGCTTCTGCTGCAGCCTCATTTGTTTCAATCTCTGGTTTCCACTGCAGGGCTAGACAGGGCTTGCCAGACACACTCGTAATTTATTACTCTACACCCCAACCCCTAACTTTCAGTCTATTTTTGCATCATTTTGCAAACATGTCATTTGTCAACCCGGCTGTGTGCTTTTCTTTTGTAATGAACATGTTGAGTTGGTCCTCACAGGCCCTGTTTAGGCCTTGCTGTGGCGGCTGGAGGTTAGTTTTTGGGTCACATGTCTGATGACCTTTCAGACCGCAGGCCAATGAGCCTATTTGTGGCGTTCTGGATGCACACGGCAGACTCCACCTCACCCCAGGAGTCCGGCAGTCCCCCGAAACACGAATTTCAACGTTTAACGCAACAGTGAAGATCTGATTTACTGTGTTTTACACACGCCTAAATCTGAGTGAATCCTCTTATTTTTATAACTTAAACCGCTTTAAAATGTTTTGAAGTTATACTCCATCATGTCAGAGCTTTACTGTTATTTACAAAGCATATGAAAAATATTAGACTCCCTCATAAAATATTTACAGAAAGCAGCTTTTCATCGAGTTGAAATGACTTAATGGATTAATTTAGAAAAATACATTAATGATGAAAAATGTATACATCTTCATCAGAGTTTTTTTGTACTCCTGTTCTATAATAAGGCTACTACATTTTGGCCTGAATATGGGCTCAATTTAAAAAGCATTAGATGGTTCAAGAAAATTAGATTAATTATCCGTAATCAATATTTTGTTTTAGAGAAAACAATTACACATAAATACAGAAAGGACCATATTAGGTGTGATAGGTGACAGTATTTAAATGACTTGAGTTGCTTTTTGTGGCAACGATCTTTTTGTGCTTTAATTCTTCTCTGATAAATTTTTACGAGTGAGCCGTGAAGCTCGGTAATAGAACATTCAGGCCTTGTAGGAGCACGTACATTTTAAAAAATGGAAATGAGTTTCCTGCTCATGTAAAACAGGCCTAAAGGCTACAATTCCCTGAGTGCAACAATGCTGCAGTTGCCATAAAAGAGACAAAGATAAATATTTTCTAGTTCTCATGGTGCTTATTTTCTGAGAATGAAAACAAAAGGGTTTCCCCCAAACAATCTGCAAAACTCCATAAAAGACCAATAACAGCCAAACAATTTAATTAGATACATTCAATTTCATTGTGCAACATTTATCAATTGTTAATGCTCTCCGCTCCAACATAAGACAGATGCCAATTTTGTCTGAACGTGCGTGGAGATCCCCATGCTCTCTGTACGGCTAATTGCACTTCATTCAACGTACCTTACATCTAATAAATAAAACTTCTCTGTGGAGCTCCAGCATGGGCTGCATTTTTTGGAGAAGTGGGAAAACAACGCTCCATAAGACACTTAGTTTTATCAAAACATATCACAATAACACAAAGCTTACAAACATATGAAAACAAGAGCTGTTATGAAGAACCCTGAAACACTAATTCAAAGTTTTTACCCCCTCTTCTCTGATTGTTTATGAAATTGAACTTTACCCCGTTTTGCCCAAAGACATTTCGCAGAAGTGTGCGGTTAAAGAATCTGAGGAGGATGTGTTGATGGATGGAGGAGCAGTCATACATCAGTACTTCAGATTACACCTGTCCTGCAAGTTCTTTCACACAAGTTTGTTGTAAAAATGGATGGACTTTTTATTCCTCGTGTGTTGAACGAGGAGGTGGAGGAGGGGGATTCTTACAGAGCGGCACAAGTATGGGTCCTGGGGCCGAGTCCTTCATAGAGAGGAGGCTGGATAAAGCCACAGGGGACAGACTCTGCGTCTCCTGTCTTCGCCGTCAACCCCTTCTCTCCCTCCTCCTCCCCCTCCTTCATCATCAGTCTTCACAGCACCGAGGCAGTGACATGGTGGATGGTGTCATGGCCGGCTGTCATGCTCTTGAAGGCCAGCGGGGCGGCGATGTCACAGCTGTGGGGAGATAGAGCACTGCCACTGGCCGGCTGCCATGTGGGTCCGGTCACATAGGCCGAGGTGGTGGCGCTGTACCCCATGTAGGGTGACACTTGGGTGGTTGGGTGGTAGGGATGGATGCTGGGTGCTGTGACATAGCTGTTCACTGTGGGCAATCCACTCTGCGTCTAGAGGGGGAGAAAAGAACAGCAGTATGAATATTAGCATGTAAATAATCTGTGTAAGATGTTAAACCTTGATATTTTAATCCTTTTTTTTTACTTACTGATAAAAGAATAAGACTTTTAAGAATTTCCAATCCATCCTTTAATTCCAACATTTTAAAAAGGGATTTTTTTTTTCCATTAAAATAATATTATGTAAAAATCTGCTTTATTAGTAGATCTGTACACAAGCAGCTGAGCTTTGAAGAAAACAGCTAAGAGTGAACTCAACACTATTAGTAAACTGTCACACATCGGTATGTGATAAGATGGTATAAGTGACCATTTTAGCAGGTGTACCAAAAAAAATGACAATATTCACCTTAATGTTCGGCGGCCCTGCTTTAACTTTATACATTCAAAGCGTCTCATTCGGATGTTTTCCGGTGTATATAAATATTCAAAACTTAAATAAAGCTGCGAGTGAAAACAACTGTGCAGTAGGTTGAATAGTTAGCTTTACAGTGATCTTGTTAATAACTTAATTTTAAGGCTTCCTGCATTTAAAAAAAAAAACACATCTTGAACATGTACACGTTTCTTGCAAACTGTAAATTATTTCACACAGACGCAGTATTAATTCCACATTATTTGTTGATCCTGCACACAAGCAGTTGACCATGAAGAAAGGAAAGCTTAAAGAGATGTTCTAAAGAGCAGAAGCACTTCTGTGTTTGGCATCTGGGCACGAAAGAGTGAAAAGTGGATCATAGCAGAAAATCTGCTTAGATGACTCTCAGCCTTACATATCTGAGTTTTGAGCATTTAAAATCTGTCATTTTCCATCAGAGTGAAAAAAAGTAATTTACTTGCTTCAGGAACATTATTAAATCAGCTGAGTTTGGAAGCAAAAAAGCTTAAAGTGAAAGCAACAGTGATGTAGGTTCAATTATAAACAGCAGAAACTTAAACCCTTACTTCACAGCCACCACATAAAAAAACAATTTTCCCAATTCTGATGAAAGTATGACTGATCAGTTATGTGCTCTCAAGCCCCTGGAGCATATTAAACATATAAAAAACATACATGTGTGGTTGCCCGTCTGTCTGTGAGGCTTGTTTTCTGCCTTAAAAAAAGTGGACGTTTTCCTCGGCGGGCGTTGATGTACCACGTCAGACGATGGGAGACAGGGCGGTTGTGGGGGGGGAGCCACAAAACAGATGTCATGAGAGATTGAGAGTGAAAGCGCAGGAAGAGGAGAAATATGATAGAGAAGGAGGCGAGCTGCATTCAGAGCATGAATGGGCTTTTGCTTTTCTGGCACAGCGACAGGAGTTAAGTCGAGGAATTCACCAAAGCTTTTCAGCAGGGAGGCCGAATTTTCTGATCCTGGGTGGTCTGAGATGACTGAGAATTATTTTTTAAAATTTGGATCACCTCCGTTTCTTTGACTCACTTTCATTGACGAAATAAAAGAAAAAATATCCTCTAAGCTAACATTTGTGGTTCCTACACAACATAAGCATAGAGAGCAACCTGGTTTTGTGGGTGTCTGTGGGTCTGCGTTGGGTGACTGTGGGTGTCTTAGTGAGTGTCTGTCTATGTTTTTGTAGATATGTGTCTTCACTCTCCTAAACGATGCTGAAACTTATTTTACAGAGAGACACACCGGCTATGATACACGTCTTAAAACAATACATTTTCATTTAAATCAGATAATCAAGCTAAACATTTTCCAACGATTATCATATCATCCAGTAAAACAAAGCACCACATGTAACACACAAACACACACATACACACAGCTATACAGCACATATATACGCATACAGTATGTGTATACTGTGTTCATACATATACACACTTTCCCTCCACTATAAGAACCGAACTAACTCCAACTTTATAAACGACCACAAAAGTGCCTGACACTTATTCCACACAATGTTCAGGGTTTACAAAACGAGGATGTTTTTATGGCAGACAACTTGAGTGAGACTGAAGCATTTGTTTGGATTTACCTGTAATTCTTTCCTTCATTACATGAAGGTAATACGCTGTTAAACTAAGTGTTTATATACAGTTTATCTTAGAATTGAGATGTTTTATTCATTTTAGAGAGTGAAAATTAGCTTAAACAGCATTTAAATTGTATATTTTGGCAAATATTTAAACAGGCTTCATTTGTAGGAAACAACATGTAAGCCTTATTAACAAATTACACAACTATCATTTAAATCTGATCATTTTAAAAGTATATATTAAAGCTTAGGTGAATGTTATATTTTCTTAAAATATTTTAATAAAAAGGCTCATTTAAAAAGCCAGGCAGGTAGAAAATATTTAAGTAACATTAGATTTGAATGAACAATGTAAAAAAGCATGACGTCATTCGGACAAATAATTACAACGCGAGCTCACTTTGTCACGCTGAGATGATTTTGTTTATGTAACAAAGAAATCATTCAAACTTGACAATAGGACTGTTTGAAATCACGTCAATGAAGCGAACCTAAAAAAAAAAAACGATTATTTATTATATTTCTGAAGAAGCCTAAACTGTTGTTTTTTGTTTGTTTTTTTCATCGAAACTTGAACGTATCACTTAGGTGCCGCCGCGCGCGCTGCGAGCTCGTGATTTAACCCGAAATATTTGTTTTTAATGATAGTCCTCATCATCTTATTCTTCTGGAGAAACACCTGAGAGTCCCATGGGTGCTTGTTCCCTCTGCATAGCGTCTACAGGCCACATTACTGCAGCTTCTGGCCTGAAAGTAAAACGATTGATTTAACAAAATAAAACGACTAAAATCACTAAAGCACTGAGCGACAAAGAAATATGAATGAGTCCTTTAAGTGTAAGCTAAGCGTGCCAGAAAATAGTGGATTTTAGCAACAGCTCGACTCGTGCACATCTTAGAGTTTGACTGTTTGTTTGTCACTAACAAATGAAAGAGCAGATCTGTGTGATATCAGATCTCAGCTGTAGCTGCCTGTTTAAACCCTCAGTGTCAGAGCTCTCGCTTTACCATGCTTTGTTTTTCCTGCAGTAAACTCTGTAATTTATAGAGTTGTTATTTTCTGCCTTTAATGGCCCACTTGTGTCTTTTTTTTCTCTAGTTCTTTGGCTCAGACACTTTACTGTGTCCACTTTGTGCTGCAACTTCTGCTAATCTCACAACTAATGTAATGACCATGAAAACTGCCCCGGGATGAAAATGCAAAATAAAAATACCCCGCATGAAATTGTTTTTATTTTTATCGACGCCTTGTAAGATATAACAGAGGCAAGCGTGCACGCGCGCGCAAACATGGCCTCATTGTAGACCCTCCAAAAAAATCCTATAAAAAACGTTTTCATAAACGATTTACATAAAATGTGGACTGGAAATAAAGACGTAAATGTATGTAATAATCATAAATGAGATCATTTTGAAATACTCTAAAATATTATGAAAGTTGCATTCATCTTGCTTTATTTGCGATATTTCATGTTGATTTAATCAAAGTCCCGAATATGTAGACCTGAACGGCAATTGTTTTATATGAAACCTTTAAATATCAGCTGCTGTATTACTGTAGAAGTTGCATTAGACCTTAACAAGAGAAATTCTGCAGTGGTCAGTGTTCCTATGAAGTTTAATGCCATGACTTAAAGCCTGTTATAATACGAAATATGGGCCTGAGAAGCTAGAATATTCCAACAGGAAACTAAGAACAGACTTCACTTTATTTTGCTGACTGTTGAATCCAGCCAATTTCCCAGTGTATAAAACGCTGCAATTATTTTTTTTTAAAGCCACCAACCCGAGCTGGAAATCAAGAACCAAGAGGGGATCTGGGGGATCCAAAACTATTTAACCTGCTAATTATGAGATAATTCACACCCAGACGATTCTTAAAAACACTGACCACAGTGGACTTATAGGAAGTGCAGCTTGTGATGCCAGAATAATAAATAATAATACATTAACATAATACATTATTGCCTGCTAAGCCAGTAGAAGGAGCGTGTTAATGCTGTAAAAAAGGGGAACTCTCCTAACCACAAAATGATTCAAATGTTATAAAATAGTCCAAGCTTCAGTTAAGCCTGACCGCAGAAGCCTAGATAAAGTTTTTTCACTTTTGTTTAAGTTACAAAAAATAAAAGGTGCCCATTATTTATTTATTTTACCTGTGTGTATTTTGCTTCAGGTTCTAAATGCGGTTTATCCACGCCATTGACTAGTGCAGAGCTTGCTGGTGGGAACTTAGTCCTGTTTATAGCGCTCCATTCCTCTAGTTTGGTGCTGGGAAAGGATGGACTGTCACTAACTGGGGGGCAGAAGAGAGAGAGAGAGGAGAGGAAAGTCAGAGGGGAGATTTTTTTTTTGGATTAGGAAAAAAAAGAGTTGTAACTGCACAGCACAGGCCGCTGCTGCTCCCACACCCATCAGGCCAAGGTTAGCCAAGCTGCACGAGACAATTAACCCGATGGCATGGTACACCAAAGCAGCATTATGTGTGAATGTTTACGCACAAATTGCGCACGCATTGATGCGCTCCCGTGTGCGTAAAATGTCTAAGAAAAGCTGAAATTCATGTTACCTCTCATAATAATATCTGTGTACGTATCAAACGCTATTTTAACATCACGTGATACTGAAAGAGTTAAATCATATCTTCCTAAATTGAAAGTTTTACATATTTTCTCTGATTCAAGTCATTTTCTTCAACCATTAATCCAAACATGTGAGCAGGCCTCATTTTGTCCTGTTCAGACTCTTGACTAAAATAACAATAAAAACTTCGAGGAAAAAGAAGTGGACTTATCTCCATATTTCTCAACGCGCTTCGATCTATATATAAACTTGTTAAGATTGAAATGTTGTAGTTCATGTTTGAGGCCCAGTTGGAGATGGCAAGACTCTCCGGTGGGTCAGGGGACGTTTTAAACCCACCATAACGTCTTCCTGTGCGGGACAAATTAGATTTACGCTCACCGTGTCCCTCCTTATGTGAATGATGGATATCATATAATACACAGACCCCATCGCTTACAACGAGAGCAGCAGGCCAACCAAAGCTTAAATCAATACAGAGCTTTTCTTTTTCTGGCACACTTTAATTGTTTTACTCTATGTCCAATTATGTCAGTCAGTGTGTCCTCATGCGCGTAAAAAGAACGTAAACTAGTCTGTTCTCTTAATCCTACACATATTTTAAATTAATTTTCCTTAACATTCAATTATTACATTTATTTAAATAAACTGTCGACATTGCTGTTCAAATGAACAAAAAAAATCTGCCACTAACATGTTCTGAATACTTAGAAGATAAATACATCCTTTATAAAGAACACCTGAGTTCTCGTGGATGTCTGCTAAACGTTTGTCTTGTTCAGATTACCCTTAAATCAGGTTAACTCTACAGCTTTGGAAATGTAGAGGAGAAGCTTTTTTCGTGTTTCTGCCCATGAATCCTGACAGCAAGGCCCGCTCTGCTAACGCACTGACAGCGCTTCCCTTCCTTCTCCTGGAAAACAAGCTCTCAGAAAATCCCTTTCACAACACCGAGCCGACCATTAACACTGATTTATGCCGGATCCTGTTTCACTGTTTCCAAAACAGTTGTGGTCTCGTTGAATGCGAGCCAAAGCTATGAGGGCCTCTATACCTGCATGTTGAACGACAAACATCACACATGCACCAAGAAAGAAACTTCCTAATATGAGCTTTTTCTGCCTGAAACCTGCTGCACAAAATGTCTGGCTGCAGCTCATGGCAAACATTCAGCACACCTCATTCTGATGCACTTCATCTCACCGCCTTTCCCCTCCGCTGTCCCTCTAATATTCCACATCCGCCGCTTAATTATTACTGCAAGCCGGACCATCTGTTTCTGACCTAACCTGCCTCCCTCTCAAATCAATATCAGCAGGCAGGTCAAGCTCTGACTCTAAAGAGGCCACAGAGTTTAAAATGCTAAAACTGTTATTTTAGAGGCCTTTAATGAACTCAGAGTGAAATAAAAAAAGCCACTTTCTCTCCAAACACACACACACACACACACACACACACACAAACACACACACACACATACACACACACACACACACACACACACACACACACACACACACACACACACATTCGCACTCTTGCGCCTTCAAAAACTTGTTTAAATGCACTGCAATAAACAAATGCAACCGCCCTCCATGCTGCCATGCTTACTTTGTTGCTCTGTAATAGACCGTATCCCCAGAATGTCTGTTACGGAGTGCGACGAGGGCCATATCCTGTGCATGGCCATGTGTCCGGGGAGGGTGGGCATGCCGGGGGGATTGGGCACTTTGGAGGTCGGGTATGAGTATAAGTGGTTGTAGGGTAACGTTGGTTGGGGCTGTGGATGAGGCGCCTGCTTGCCGGACTCGTACTGGCTCTGCTGGGTCAGATTCCCGATCTTGTTGCGCAAGATCCGGCTGATAGAGCTGACGGAGGGCAGGTTGAACTTGTCGCACACCCCGTCCGCGAGTAGCCTGTCTCGGATCTCCCAGGCAAAAATCCCCGGGTCCCTCTGCTTGTATGTCCGTATGTGCTTGACCACGGTGGGTGTGGTGACCCTCGGCTTGCTGCCTCCGATGGCCCCCGGGAGGATGGAGCCGGTCTCGTTGTAGCGGGCCAAGATCTTGCTGACGCAGCCGTGGGAGACGCGCAGCTGCCTGCTGATGTCACAAGGTCGAATCCCGAGCTGGGCCAGCTCCACGATCCGCAGTCGGATGGCGTTGGGAAGCGGCCTGCCGTTCACGAAAACCCCGCCGAGTTGGTTCACCTCACCGAAGGCTGGCTCTGGTGTCAAAAACAAACACACAAGGGCAGAACAATGAGACAGCGATTAGGTAACCAAACCAGGGCCCACCACTGCAACCTGGGTTAAACCAAGCACATAAATAGGCCTAAAATTACCGATAGGCCTACATTAATATACAAATAAATCAGTCGAGTATAATAACTGTTTAACAATTTTTCTATTTGCATTATTTCAATTCCTATAATTTTTGTAATCAATGTGTTTTAATAGCTTATTTTAAATAGTACATCTTTACGCACAGTATTATTTTAGCTTTAAGTGTTTTACAATGAAAGAGTGAACTCTGAAACATGAAATTATCACGCTGACTTAAATATGACGTTTGACTTAAAAGAACCAACATAAAGCTGACTGATAGCTGTCGTGCACACAGGGTAAACTTCACACGGATGTTCAGTGGTCAACGCCAAAACTCGTGCGTAACAGCCACATGGAATAATTCAGTCTGCCTGTTTCTTGCCACTCGGATCAGCAGTAAATCTGACCCGTCAAAACATCTCACACAGACGTTATCTCGATAGACTTTTCCCACCTTGGCCGTTGGACCGATCACTGTTGCATCCCTGACGAGAAAAAAAAAAAAAACAATCCAACTTTGCACTCACCCATCGTGTTAAAGCCGCAAACGAAGAATACGGTGTCCGGTGTGTGCCTCCTGCGTGGGTCCTGCTCCGCGTCCAGCGTGTCCACCGTCCAAAACCGCGTCCACAGAAATCTTCCTGTGCGATAAGGAACAAGAGGGACAAAATTCTCGATCTGTTTCCTGACGGCTCTGGAGACAGGCTTACATTTCAATCTGTTGAAATCAGGGGGCTGGACTTCCAGCGCTTCTCCCTCGCTGATTGGCTCAGCTCGCCAATGGACGCTCAAGAATGCACAGACACGCTCACCTATTGGTCCAAAAGTTTGACATGACAAGTCCACCGAGTTCCCCCCCAACCCCCGTCCTTCTCGTCGTCCTGCTGTCTCCCATCAGAAAACACTGGGATATACCACCATGAAAACGTTTGTTATTGAGACAGATAGGGTGAGTATAATGCGATATCATGATTTAGGATAAGATCTCCTCCTTTTTCTGCTGTCATGAATAAATAACGCGTAAAAAGCTCCACTTGCATAATATCAAAAGAAACCGTGAACCCTGGCACAATTGAAGTATTTTCGTAAAAACGCACAAATCTAATAATTTACAATTAAAAACATATATCTCATTTGATTCCTCTAATCTGTTTGTAGTGTATTTTTGTGTCAAAGATTGAACCTTTAGAAATAAAATAACCATATACATTTCTGTTATGAAAATAAAAAGGTGGAAACCCTGAGTTTAGGTGGCTTTACGCTCCACTTCACCAGCCTTCATCTTGACCTTTTAAATGGCATCATTACGGAAACGGGAGGAAATGAATGATTGGTTTTCAGTGATGTAATTGGCAGTGTGAATGTTTTTGTAAATTGTATCTCTGCGCTCAAGGATTATCACGTTAGATTTTCTTTTCTTTTTTTTTCTCTCTCACGTTTTTAATCTCCATAACGCACCAAGCATCGTCTTCTATACTGTGTGAAAAATAAAGGGAAAATATTCCAATAAAACAACACATAATGCTCCAAAAATGAGGTGAGCGAGAGGCGAACATGTTGAACCTTTTGGAAATAATCTGATCTGGCCCTGCAGTTTAAAAATAAAAAGCAACATCATGCAGGTAATTCTCTTGTGCCAATTTTGAACAACATTTTAGTGATTTATTTAGAAATTAATATAACGATCATTTGAATTCAAGGTGTTTTTATATGCTCACTTATTTTCAATCTCCTATTTAAACGTGAAAGCCAGTTTGATTTGCATTAAGCCTTTGCACGGGTCATGTCATGCCATGTCTTTGTTATCCAATTACACGTAAAAGCATCCACCTTTTATATGTTAACTTTTACATCATTAACTATCAGACTCTAGGCCTGTATAACAACATTTTTTTTTAAAAAACGCTTCTATCAAACTGTTGTACTTTTGAATAAATGCACGTGCTGTACAGAAACTCCACTTAAGCAATAAGTAAGATTTGTTGCTTTCCGACACGAGAAACAAACATACGCCATAACTTTGCGCCTTCACTCTCTCTCCCTCTCGCCGTTTTGACACATGCTTTGCGTTTTCTCGGTTCATATTTTAAAAAGGCCACGGTGCATGACTGACCTTCATCTCCGTGCAACCTAAAGGGATCAACGTGCATGTAAACATCAAACGGTGCTCGTGCACAGCCGTGCAATTAAGGCAATATTGTTGAAAACCCCTCTGCTGACATTAAACACCGAAGGGGCCAAATTGTACACAAAGTGTGGCTCAGTATTTGTTGCAGCACGCCTTGCTCTGCAGGCCTCAGACTGTGGGGGGAACATACTTTGCCTAGTGTTTTGCGTAGTTGGCCCACCTTTTCAGGATGGCAAAAAAAAATCTCTGAAATGACAGAATACAGCGCGTGCTATACCCTCAGCAGACAGGTCTTTTACGGAAGCGTAGATTAAAGCCTTTGTGGACACATCTCTTTTAACATGATGGATTATAACTCACTGGGGGTCTAAGTTTTGTCATTTTTAAAACAAATGTACCTCCTCATCGCCGCTCGTGCCCCCACCTGCTCACCCTGCTTAGCTCCCAGGCCACTAATGCGTCAAGATAATGTTTACCGTGGGGGAACGTGCTCAACTTGTTTCCATTGAGGTTTCTCCGGTGGCAGAAATAACAAAAGGTCAGTGATGAGGGATCAAAGGTCTCCGCAAACTGCTCCATCTCAAGCTTTTTGACACAGAGCGGCCACCTTCCACCCTTTTGTCCGGTTTATGATAGACGCTGCGGGTGCAGCACCGAGTTCATCTGATTAATGACATCATACAATGAGTGTAAAAATATGGACGTTTATCGCTGTTAGAAATACCGGAAAAAAAATAGTAACTAAATCAACTGATTGAAAGTAGGGTTTAGGTTACCATGCAGTCAAAACAATGTGCGATAATTATGCCAAATAAAACTATAATGATAATAATAAGAATAATACAAATAATAATAATAATGTGACGGGTCTAGCACTGCTTGTTTGTAATAATGATTTCCAGACTGCACGGCTGTCACATGCCTGTTGAGCTCGCGAGCCCAGACTCGTCCATGTCGAATTGAATTGTTCAAACCGGCCGTGAAGGCAACGCATCACTTGTCAGACAAATTGTGTAACGATGGACTCAGAGCTCCGGCTGCAGCTCTCTGCAGGAGACAGAACACGCTGACTTATGGCCTCATCTCACACTGATCTGACATGTCTGTACAGATTGTGCAGAGTGACAGCATGCCTTTACATCATAATCTGCAGCAGACATTAAGCAATACATGCGCGTTTAGATGCAGACTTAACCGGCCTGGCAGAACAGGAAAACCCCTGAATATGTCTTTAGTGCTTGATTTAAACTGCAGGATGTGATTTGAATGTTCCTGATTCACAGCACAGTTCGTTGAGTGTGTTATAATATTTCACAGCATGCTGTGCGTCCACTGCCTTCACGGCTTATGCGCAAAAATGTGCAAGCATAACTTTCGTCACATGGCCTCTATGCCCCGCGTAACTATAATTTAATGGTTGAGGAACATTTTGTAAATAATCATAGTCAACACTTGTGCTTCCTGCAGCTTGGGCCTCCACTACATGATTTAAATTAGACTGTTCTCCCCCCCCAAAAAAAAATATTATTTTATCATCTTTTATTCAAGTCTTATTGCATTTCACTCAAACTGTTCCAACTATCTGACTTTATAACTCTGGTTGTATTTAGTGAACCGTTTGGAGATGCACAAAAGATCGGCTTATATTGTGGATATAATACTTATTTTTATTATTCAGAAATTTGTTTTTTATCTGGTATTAATTGTGTTCCTTCTCTCTGGTTTGCAGGTTGGTTCGTGTATTTACCTTCTGAGGATTATACTCAGCAAACAGCTGCATGCTGAAACTGGCCGTGTACCTGTTTATATCACAGCTTAGTTTCATGTGAAAGTGTTTGTTTTTCTCATAATTGATCTCACAGGCAGAGCAGCTCCTCATTGTCTGGAGGATGGAAGAAACATGGAGGAGTAAATACATGTTTGTGCTTCTGCCTTGTTCTACTTTAAAGTTGCTGTTGGTCCCAAAAGAGGAAGATTTTTTTACAGGATGTATACAGATGTATACAACAGGAGAACGTGCATGAAATCATCAGGTAAATATGTGCAAAAACATCAGGTAAATATGCAACATGTGCGAAAATAAAGTGTAAAAAGAGAGTAGCATGCATTTCTTTCTCTTAAATGAATATCCACACCTTTTTCCAAATAAAGAGTCATGTTGAGGCATTTTACATAACACAGTTTGATCTTAACGCCAAATGTCTTCATATAAATCAGACAGCAATTCCTTTTTTTCTTTCTGCCAAAAAGTTCCAAACAACTTTGTTTACATACAAATCACAGAGCCTCTCCCACCGCAGCTATCTCCATCAGGTGTGAGCAAAACAACACAGACGACTTTGATTTTTAATTTCCAAATCTTCAACAAGTGAAGACATGAGCATCTTTTGTATTCTCTCACAATCAGAGGGATGCAGAGCAGCTTTGGAAATTAAAACAAATGACCTGTCAGCATTTTCTTTTTTTAAGGCTGCATGGGGCTTATTACATCAAATCAAAGAGCTGCGGCTTGTTCAAGATTTTCATTCAAACTGATTTAAAATATATATATATATATATATATTTAAGGGCATAGTGTCTTTAATTCAACACTTCGACACTATTACACCTCTGGAGATGATGATACCGCTTCAAATGAAAAAGTGAAAAAAACAAAGGATCCGTTTATAATCAATCGTCAGTTGTAGCTATCTTCCTTAAATATATGCAAATATCAAACTATAAAAAACGACGTCTCATCACCTACATCCTGTTTTCAAACTAAAATAATTTAACCCCTACACGAATGGAATCGAAATATATATTTTTGAAACATTGTAAAGAAGGGTTTCATATATAAGGTGCATCATGTATGTGAAAATATAAAAACACAAATATATAAAAAGCAACAACAATACAAGCCTTACAAAGCAAGCATCAAATACATGAAAAAAGACAATAAAATACGAGCAAAACAATCGAATTGAATAAAGAATATATACACAGTGTGAGTGGTATCTAAGTGAAAGAGCTGCACAGGTTTGGAAGGAACGTTTCAAATAAACATTGAGGGAAACGTAGAACAAAGAAATGTAAATGTCGTTTAAGATCGTACAAAGTCAAATGAAGTTTACTTTCAGATACAGCAAAAATGTAAGCAAATTATCATTTTGATATAGTCAGATATAGATTTAGTTGAATATAGGCACATTTCATTTATAAGCAACATACAATTAATATATCCTCAAATATAATTTTGCAGGTTTAGTCACATGTATTGTCTAACATAGCTGTTCATGTCGCTTAAAAAAATACGCAAATAAATTTACATATCAAATATAGTTTTATTTGTGTAATAAGGGTAATGTCATTCATCGTTAAATGTAGTTATATGTGTATTCAAATAAAGTCATACTTGCTTTTATATTTATTTATATATGAGTCACAATCACAACTTCAAACCGCCCTGATAATATTTTTAGATTTATTGTTATGACTCGGATTTCCATTCAGCACCTGTCACCTTCATTTATTCTCTGTAAGTGATGATGTTGTGCAGGACTCCTCCATTAGTCCTCCACCATCTAAAGGTGTCACCACACACTCCGATAGGACTGCGACTTCTGAGCTCCAGCTCATTAATATTCTTCTTTTTTCCCCTCGAAAAACTTGGGGCTAACTTAACAGATCAGATCTACACTTTCCGGTTGATGAGAGAGACAGACAAAACATGACAGAAATGCAAACCCATAAAAGGCTTTGTTTAAGTTCAGGAGATGAAGAAATGTACACAGGTGAGAAGTATTCACATCGCAGACCCGCAGAATTCCCTCCACAAATGCGCAAAAAGTAGACATAACTAGTCAAACTAATCAGTTCATAACTGCATAAGTTAAAACGATAAAACTTGAACCTCGGAAAAAAAAGATTACTACGACTCTCAACAAAAATGTTCCTTAGTTAAAACTATGACATGTAACACTTTGGATGCAGGGAAAGATTATACAAAAAAATCTAAAAACAAAAAAAGCGGGGAATTGAGCTGTAGTCAATTTGATTTAGAAAAAACCGAGAGTCACATCCTTATTATTATTATTACTATAATAATAATTATTATTATTATTAATGTGCAGCAGCTATCATTACATGGCGCACAGCAGCGCAGATGCAGAGATTTGTTTGAATCATAATCACATCCATGTGCGTTAAATGTCTTGCATCGTGACATCATCAACTACATGACTGTACGTGTGTATCAGTGCCGGGGCGCAACTGTAACTCTTCTTCTACAACTAAGAACGATAACACGCTCTGACAGTAATCCGTCAAACGAGTCCTCTTTGTGGTCCGAAACAAAAAAAAACTAAAAAAAAACTAAAGAGTGCTGAACAGGTTTCATATTATCTGCGATACACGGATGAGGAAGAGCCCAAGCAGAAAAGCAGGAGAGAATTGGTGATGGAGAGGGAGAAAAGCTCCCAGTTCCAGTTTAACTATTCCCAGTGAGCTCCTGCGGGAAATCAAAATCCCCTCTAATGGTTTGTTCTGGGGATGGTGGAGTGATTTCATGTTTCACAGAGAGACGGAGGCCTGTCATCTCATACTCACTGTCACCCAAACTGACTGACATCTGCAATTGCAAACACACATACCCGGAGATAATGTGTGTATAGCCTATATATGTGTGTGTGTGTGTGCTGCATTTAGAAACGAGGCCCAGATACTTGTTCCTTGAAGGCACCACCATCCCGGGTTATCAAAGCAGCTGTTTAATCCAAATCAGATAAAATAACACGGCGTTTCTGTGCTGCTTTTTGGGTGAAATGCATCTTTAGACTATCACACACGGATGCCTCTAACCTCTGCTGGCCAAAAGTCAGTGACACCATTAAAGTCTTTTTGCAGGTTAGCACTTATCCCAGGTTAAAATGGCCTGGTAACTTTAGTGCGGCCTTAATGAGGACGAACGCGGGTTAACGACGTATGTAGTCGTGTTTCAGAGGCCAGGCCCGGGTTTGAGCGGAGAGGGACACAAAGCAACAATATTTACGACACTTTTACGCATTCATCACTTTGACATCTGTTCGTCTGGCACCTGGCACACATTAGTATTACATATTTCATTCCGTCCTAATTTGGAGCGCTCTTTGTCCCGGACCAAGGACACTTAAAAATAGAGTTGTACCTTTCAGAGCGCCTTTTTTTTTTTACGCGGCGTTTCCTTTGTGCAGAGAAGTGCAAATGGGCTGTTGATGCAGACCACACCGCTGAGGAGCCGTTGAGTCATACCTGGACTGCACTCATATTGAATTTCCTCATCCATTTAGATCCCCGCACAAAGCGCGCGCACACATTCCTGCAATTAGTCAGATTTAGGCGCACGAGCGTCAGATAGCTACACAATGTTATTAGATTACCGCGTGCACAGAGTTCAATATCACCATAAACAAACAACACTGAACACGCGCTCTGATATTTGTGTTATTTGATTAGCCGACGTGGAGCCTGCACGGAAAATAAACCAGTACTAGCTAAGATTTATAGAAGTTAAAATAACGTTTCATCGTTTTCTTTCATCCATTGCAGCTCGCGTGTTTTGCAGTATTTCTCGAGCAGGCCTTCTAAATCCGACCG